CCTTTTACGAGTTAAACTTGAGTTTTGTAGTTCAGTGTGGAATTCGCTAACAATGACCGACGCTGCACGGATAGAAAGAGTTCAGAAGCGATTTATATGCCTTGTTTACGATAGATATTTTGATAGAAAATGTTATTTTGATTATGAATACCTTCTTAGAGAACTTTCACTCCAGAACCTTTCAAAAAGAAGGATAGCTCGTGACATTATATTTTTATACAAAGTGGTTCACGGCCAAATTGATAGCAATCTTGTGTCGTCTTTGAACTTTCATGTACCGGCCCGAGTCGTTAGAAACTCAAGCGTGTTTTATATATCTATCCAAACGAGACCGTCCCCTTTGGCTAGAATGCAAATTTGTTTAAATGAATTTCCGACTCATGTAGACATATTTTTAAATTTTGCTGCGTTCAAACGACTACTTGATATGCATATTTTTGGTTTATGATTATGAAATGTTTTAATTTCGAGAGCATAAGTCGGGGGGGGCTTGAGATTGTGTACTGTTTTAGGTGTTCTTTTTTTTCTCTTTTTAAACTTTTTAAGTGCCACCACACTGTAACCAATAGGTTGTTCTGGGGCATTATACAAATAAAGGATTATTATTATTATTATTATTATAAAACGCACTCTGTGCTAAAAGTCTGGCAAGCATACACTCATAGCTTTGGGGACTGAGAAAATGTGTCCAAACACTTCCTCAAAAAGGACTCTAGTCTTCACTGACAGTCCTCCGGGCATGCTGACCTTAAAATGTTACACGAAACCTTCAAGCGTCCGGCCCACCTAAAGGCTTCACAATTGTGCTAGCATGCTCCACAAGCAACAAGGAAAAAGCCGAAGGAAGGCGGAATAGCACTGCTGTCTCTCAACGTTCTTGAAAACCTTGATTGACAGTACGGCTTTGAAGTTATGTTGCGAGTACCAATGGTCATGTTGGTGATAGCATTGGGTAGAATTATTTGCATTGCCCCGATTCAACGTGTTGCATCCTTGCCATTCGGCTGCTAATAGCATCATTGCCTTTAAAGAAATGAACAGCCGAGTTTACTTTGTGGAGCTTGCAGGTCCCCACATTCCCGTGCAAAGCACCATGAGTCAAGATAACAGAGATCCCCCCACAGTGGTTAGGTATCGCACAATGATGGATGTTCTGTGCTTTAACATTCCAAGAGCAAAGTGTGATGCAAAAAACTGCATATCATGAAGCACCCGTGGGATCACTATTGGACATTCTTTGTTGAACTGTCGTTGCTAGCCACGCACTGCACGTATGCCGGGAAGCACAATTCAGATCAATTAAATGTTGAGCCCCACTTCTGATGAGACCCCAATTAAGGGCCCCAAAACAAGATGAACGAGTCACTCGACAAAACTGTCTCTGAATTGAGGCACTTCCATTTTTAGCTTAGCTGTAGACTGGTATGCATTTGTATCAAAAGAGAAGTTGGCTCTATACCTCGTTTCGCTTTAAGTGTGCGCGTAGCAGAGGCTACAAGAGCAAGCTCCGGGCTTTCAGTGCCCCAGACAAGCACGTACACTTACGCAGTGCAAGCACCGTTCGGGGCAACATGCTCGGACTTGCAGCTTCGGCGTTGCTCATGCATAATGTGAAACAAGCTATAGGCTATTCTGCATTCTCGGACGAGATTCAGATTTCCTGCAGAACTGTCCCTAAAACCATTTCAAATTGCAGGTCCACACAGTCTTAGGCCTCATTCACACAGCCGGCGTTTCTCCCATCCCGTCACCGTCGCGAGGGGCGTTCCCGTCAGGGGAGAGGATTTTCGGCCCGGTTTTCGCCGGAAAGCTGTGCCGCGCCGGGTGCCGGGCGACATGGGGAGGTGCTTTATGGCACCAGCGTCCCGGCGGATGACGGCGTCCCGCTCCCATCGAAAACCAACGAATCACAAAATAGAAAAGTTTCGCTAAGTTTGGAAAATTTTATATCATTCGATTGCCAACAGTGAGCCAACGCTTGTTGTGTTGTTTTTCTTGTTCCTTTGCGGCGGGAATTGCTAATAGCAGACGCAAACCCTTAATTTACAAAAAAAGAAATGTGCGCACTACTGTTCAGGCACAATTATCTCTTTATTTTGTAATTTACGTTGAATAAATAAGCAATTCGATCCAATTCAATCCTGCCGTCGCGGCCTCTGTCGCTTTGCTTGCGCGGCCTGTTCGGACACCCTGCCGTCGCGTCCCTGCCCCGGCGTGCTCTTGTGACGGTGACAAGATGGGAGAGGCGCCGGTTGTATGAATGAGGCCTTAGTGAACACCATTCGACCGAACATTTTGGCAAATGGTAATTCCTTCGTCGAACATCCGTTTCAACGAAGGCCCCCCCTTTCCGTCTAAACTTTGCAAAGCATACGGCACAGGCCAAAACTACTGCCACCGGTGTCAGCAGGCTTGCTTGCTTCTTTCCGAGATGAAGCGCTACATGGGACCCACACCGCAAGGGTGCTAAGTAATTGACCAATTTCAAAGTTACACCACAGTTTTGCAAACACCATTTACGTGCGTAGCCGAAGTGGTCAATTTTGCCAATAAATAACGAAAGGTATACGTTCAAGTTTGACAGCCCAGTATTGTTCACTAATCTGAGAGTCGCAAACATGATTGCGAACTAAGTTTAAACAGCGAGGTGATTGCTGCGCTTGCACGAAGTGTGTATCCCCGTTACGGGTATCATTCGCTCGGACATCTCTGGTGAAAGACTACGGGCAGAGCTCCATTAGGTAAACGTAACTTCCCAAACCAATATTCTCTCAGTATTTGCATTATTGAGGGATGTCGTTCTCCAAGCCTTTCAATTCTGGGGCCTCGTGGAAGAACCAGACATCAGCACTCGCCCAGTACTTGCTCGCTGCAATGATTTTTGCTGCAGCCTATTGCTACGCGCAGCATACCTACAAAGTAAAAGGAGTGTACCGCAAAAACTGATGACTGGACATGGTACACTCAAATCATTTCCCCAAAGGGCTATCCACTGGCTCAATCGTAGAGCTACTACAATTGCAAAGATAAATTATGCTGGGCCAAATTTGAAGCAAGTAAAAACTTATATTTTCTATGACAGGACAGATCAAAACTAACTAATCTCCTGATACGGCTAAAAGAATGACAGCAACTATTCGCCTCAAACCCTGGTCCCAGAGGCGACACCATGGCCACGTTTCTGGGGAGGGCACGTGCTTTTTTTCCATCAACGCCCCCTATGAATCGTGATGTGCTTCGCATGCGTTCATGCGGCCAAAGCGGGCCACAGGATCGCCACTACAGAGATGCCAAATGAGGAACGCTAGCGGCAAGAGCAGGTAGCTTCCAGTCTCGCACCCGTAGCAATCACAATGTGTTAAGCAGAGGAAAAGAAGAGGATAGTTTGGCTACCTTCACAGTAGCGAACGCATGGTTGAATCTCGACGTACACAAATAAGACGTTTGAAATCCTTGGAAGGGAACATGAAATGGAAGTCGGCAGACAGAAGCCAGATGATTTTCCTTTCCCGTGTGCAATTATCCTTCATACATTGTCTTGTGTTACAAAGAGGCTGCAGCATTCTTTGTTTGTTTCTACTTCTTGCTTGGTTATTCTGAAGCTAGCAAACCCTTTGTGTCTTAACCTCGAGCAAGCCCCATTATGCAGTTTGTTCTTTAAGAAAAGATAATCCTTTCCGTGAAACTTTTCTTAAGGGGCATGAACCCCCCAGTGAGGGAAAAAAAAATAGATAGTAGAGAAGGGAAGTGACAGTCAGCCTCATAAGTGCACTTTTTGCACACAAAAAAAAGCCTGCACGTGCAAGCAAAAGTTGACAACTGTTTTACGTTTTAAAAATGTGCTTATTCTGACCATGTGTTAGCCAAAGTGAAAAAAACAAAAAAACTCTCATGACCCCTTCATATACATTAAAAACAACTGGTACAGCTGGTGGTTTTCTCTTATATACAAGAGAACTGTTACAGTTCTATCAGAACTTATTGGATCAGCTGTTGCCTCACCCTACAAGGTAACAGTTTTCATTGATCATTTCCAAATTATAGTATCACAATTAAGGGTTTCTTAGAGCTTGCCACACCCACTCACTGATTTTTGGCAGTTCAGCTCACATTAAAGACCCCCTTTCCAGGCATGCTGTCTCTATCTCTTCTGTGGTTGCGGAAGTCCCTCCGTGGCAATCGAGAGAGATGCCACAGTTTGCTCGCTCACCAGCGGGTCATGAAGAAGAACATTCACTAGAGAATCACCGTCATCATAAGATTGTTACAGCAAGCATGCCCGAGATAGAACAGACAGTACGACCCTAGTTGGGAACACTGTAGTTCCTCATAGCTTAGGGGAAGGTGCGGGATACTATTGAAATAACTCCTTGTCATTCTCATCCTGTCAGTGACTATAAATGGTTCCAGGGAGATCGGTTGGTATTCTCAAAGCACTTTAAAGTAATAAAAGCATGTTAGTAATGCCTAACTGTGTGTTTAAACAGTACAAGAAGATTACAATGTCGACGATGAAGGCAAAACCTAGCAATGCGAGTGTTCGTGGTTGCTGCATGTGAATGTGGGAGGCCCGTGTTGCTGGTGTCGCAACGTCAAGATGCTGGGAAAAGCTGCCCCATCTGAAGCGGGCCTGAAGACTGGTTCACACAATTGCGTTTGACTACTACCAGCTGTGCTACAATGGGTTTCCAAGCCGCTTGTGACTGCTTACGAACGGCTGCAAAGAAGCACAGAAGGTTAAAAGCGGTCATAAGTGGCTTAAATATTAGTTGTAGAGCAGTCGATTGCAGTCAAGTGCAGCCGGTTGTAAGCAGTCTCAAGCGGCTTAAAAACGGGCTGTAGCGCAGCCGGTCACAAGCAGTTGTGATTGACTTAAAAACCGTCTGCAGTGCAGTCATCTTAGCCAAACGCAAGTGTGTGGAACCTGAGAGATAAAATATGAGGCCTGGCAAATTCACCCCCCTCCCCTCCCAAAAGTCGGAACACTTCTTTCTCTGTACCTTCTTGCCACAGGGATATGCTGTTGTAGGGGTTGCAGTACTTCATGGCTTTCGCCCTGGTAAGGCTGTTGGAAGTGTCCATGCCCTTGCGGAGGGCGTTGAACTGGACTGCCGTGGTGTCTGGGTACTTGGCCTTCACGTCGTCTGTGCGTCCTATGAGGGACACTGTGCACCAAGAGAGCAACACTAGAGATCAATGCAGGTCAAGAACGTGTCAGCTCTTTCACTCCAAACAACTTACGGTGCCTAAAATTTGAACCTGCAACCGAAGAAAATGCAATGATAAGCACACGCCTACAATTTAGCTAACAATTAAAGTATGACTCATTTTGTCACTTTCACCGTGCCATTATGCTTCTCTAGTCGTTAGATTTCGGTAATATTACAATAGCTTTACCGCATGCATCTAGAATTTAGCTAACAGAGTATGCTTAGTTTTTTGGGTTTATTTTCAACTTCACTATGTAGTTGTACTTTTTTTTTTTGTCCATTAGATTTTGGTATTACAATAATTTTTGCAACACACCTCTAGAATTTAGCTAGTAGAGTATGCATCGTATTGTCAATTACAGGACGCCTTTATTATCACTCTTTTACCTTTAAATTTGTTCATTAGATTTTGGTATTACAATATAACTTTACAGGGGGTTCTGTTATCAGCTTTCTTTGCGCGCAGTTCTCCGAGTGCATAGAACACACATGCTATTTCCCATTGCACAAGCTAGTTTAGTGCCGTTTACACTAAACTTAAAGTTCAACTCTTCGAGATTGCGTGCCAGTATTTGCGGAGGCACTGACATTTTATTGCCGCAGGACCGCGTCCCGCTCCTAAATCGATGAGATGCACAAACAACACTTTCGCGTCTGCGACAAAGAGCGAGCAGTAGCGCCAGTGACTAGCTCTTATCACTGCGGTTTCTCACTTGTGATTGCCATCCCAATGATCCAGACAGCGATAAAGGATGCCAGCAAGAACCGGTGCCGAGACAGAAACTTCATGATCCAAGGCACTAGAAACACCATCTTGGCAGGAATGGAATCGCCGGTCAAACTTGTCGTCCTAGAGCAATCCCTCCCAGGGCCGCATAATCAGCCCGCGGGTAACCAAGAAGAGATGCACAGTCCCCTTTGGATTGCCGTCCTGAGAGAGATACGAGCACGATACGAGGAACGGATGACTCCAACAATTTACGCACAAACACGAAATGCCTGCGACGCCGCAAGCAGCTGCAAAAAAAGCGGCGAAATCGCTAGTGGCGGTAGTGGCAGTAGTGGCGGTAGTGGCTCCAGCGCTTTCGGCTACAGGCGCTTGCGCTGGTAGCGCCAAGGCGCCAGCCACGCCGAATCCGACAAATCGCTAAGAACAGCAGCGTGCGTAGTGGGCATAGTGAAAAATCAACGCGTCGATACGACGCGCAAAAATGACGTCACGACGCTTAATGCTCTAGCCTCCAGCCTGCTTGCGTGAGGCGTCGACTAGCGTTGAAAGCGGTGCCGCGTCGACGGCGACGCGTTCAGTTGTGCGCCATTTGGGAGAGCTCCAACAAATACTTTGCGCTCCAACATGAGTAAAGTTTCTCTCTCGTAAAAAGAAATTCAAGTGAAAATACGCGCATGCATTTACATCGCACCAAAGACTCGAGGGAAGTGGAGAAAAAAAACACACACACATAAAACGCATGTTCTGGGCGGGCGCACTGGTAAACAGTTGGTCACGTGCCACCCGAGAACCAATCGCGTCGTAGTGGACACGTGCTCGGCAAATGATCGGTAAATCAGTAGTGTGTTTGTGGTTGTGTTCCTGCGATGTAGTGTTATTTTCGGTGCTCTCGTTGGAGGTTCGTCGAAGTGTGCGGTTGTGTTTCCCCCCGTCTTGATGTGTTGTTCTGGATGGGATGTCTCATTACGATGCCATAATACACCTCTTGGCAGGAGGGTACGTATTCCAGAATATCCTCAAATTAACGCAACGCGATTTCCCCCCCCCCCCCGCCGTCAGAGCGGTCGCAGCGGAAGCTAGTGCGGACGGCATTTTTTCGGGCCGCATGGTGCTCGAGTTCAGACCAAACTGGACGGGTTTCCAGCCCCGCTTTCGGTGTCATTGCCATCCCTAAGGGTTCCTACGATGTCCCTTTCGCGTAGCACTCTTAATTACGCGACTGGGACGCCTTTCTCGGTCTAGCGCCCGCCGCGTCCTCGGCGACATTGTTTATGCTGCGAATGCGCACTTGGCTTGGCCGAGTGTGAACGACTGAATTCCCCTGTCAGCCGAAAAACTTACTATTATTATTTTTTTCTTCCCGACAACTTAATAAATTTGGACTTCCATTGGAGGGATCGGTTTTCTGAACAAGGCCGGATGTTGCGAGCAGCCGGGTTGGCGCCGGCCGGTCTGTCGGGCATGTTGGTTCATGCAGCGCCCACATTTCGTGACTGTTTTGAAAGCGCGGACCCTGTTGTTTTGACTGCGAGCTGCATCGAACTTCATCGAGCCACAACTCATCACTCAGGCATCTCCAGCTAAGAAGGGCGATGGGGGAAGGGATGTGTTGTGGCGTATGCCTTTGAAGTCACGTCCGCGTCGTTGCTTTTGCTGTTTTTTTGCTCGGATTGTGCTAAGGTTAACCTGCTCCTTTGGGGGCACTAATTTCTGCAAAGCTCGTTTGGTTCCTTAATTTTTCTCGCTTCAGTATTTATTTATTTATTTATTTTTTTTGCTCCGTCTATGAACTTGTAAAATAATCCAGGAGATTTTGTAATGATACGTTTTTCAATCGACTAATCAATATTTTTTTAAAAAAGAAAAAATCTCTGTCTACGTTCTTGGTTGAACGCAACTGTGCACATTGCGAAGTTTACTGTCGAGACTCGCGCTTGAATCGCTGTTCTACCCCCCTTTTTGTTTTTATTTTCATACTTTTATACCCGCTGACTTGATTCCCGACTTTCTTTTGTACCCGGTTTAAATAAATATAAAATAATTCCATACAACTCGGCCTCGTTTGCAGCTTCACGTAAGAACGACCGGTATACAGGTGGGAATAACAGCTTGTCGATTTTTGCTTCGTACGCGTACTAGTGCGTTGGAATGTGCGACCTTGAGAGGCCGTCTTTTTAATGAACGTCCCATATTCTTTCGCTTCCCGCCGTCGTAAACTTGTCCTAGCTCGGCAAGAGAGGGAGGGAGGCTGACTGCCGATTCGAGCGCCCGAGAAAAGGTCGGCGGCTATCAAAACAAGAAAACTGCAAGTTGTAATCATTCGTTACCCGCGAACGTTGCCCCCCTAAGGCCGTTGCAATGAGCTGCTCTTGGGTTAGCGATCTGGTTACGGCAGTTGTTTTTTTTTTTTTTCTCGCACTTTTCTTTATTTTTTACTTTATGTTCTCTCTCTACTAGATATGCGTTGGTAGTGTTATATTTTTCTTGTTTTGCACTAAACGCGTTAAGTGCATGTTGTTTTTCTTTCGTTTAATTTTGCAGCGAAATAACCAGGAGAACGCGTTGGCCCGTTCTACTTTAACATGTGGACGACTGTACACGCTGCGGCAGAGGAAGAGACTGATCGGGAGTCGTTTCCTTGTTTTTTTTCTTATTTATTCATATTTTAGAACGGATGGTGAATTCCGGACGTGCACGAGTAAATCCTCGGAATTTTGAATCGCATTAAATTAATGCGTTTGATTCGAGTGAGGGTCTAAGATGGAGAGGCGACGGCACGGGGAACTAACCGCAGGCGTGCTGGTTAAAGGATGTTGTGCACGTCGAAAAACAAGTGAGAAAGAAAATAATGTGGATAGAATACCAATGGAGGGACGAAAATATATATTTCTGGTGTGTTACATTTTCTTAACAATAGGCTTTTGGAAATCTTGCAAAACAAGCTGGGTGAAACAAGGTGTACAACTCAGTAGCATATCTTATCTAGTTCTACTGATTCTATGATGCCTTATACACTTCCAAAGATACCACCATCGCATTGGATCGTTTTGTGTGTGTTTATGTGTGTGTGTTGTTATTTTGTATCGTTTATAGACCGTTCCATTAGGGTCATAGCAGAAAGGGTGAAAAGAGAAAAAAATGCCCTCCTCCTCTCACCCGCATGTCATCTGCTCCGCCGAGTGGGCAGTACCTAGCATCCGGCTGGCGAACAAACTCTGTTTAAAATCTCGTCATTTTGGAAATTTCAAGCGCAGATGCGCAGATTTTGGTATGCCAGTTATCGTGTATTACTATGCTAGATAAAAAGACTGAGTCCAATTGCGCTGTTATCTGCATGCAAATAAAAGAGAATAGGGAAAACTGTGTCAGACTGGCCGGTCTCTCCGGTGAAAAGTGAATCCTGTGGCTGTACCTTTTTTACTATACAAAGTTCGTACTAGTGTAGCCATTCAGCGACCATGAGTGGATGTCTGAAATAATAAATAAAAACGTGCTCTCCTGCCGCAATACACGCAGTAGTTGAGGGTAGTACTGCCGGCTGACTCAACTGCTATTTAAATAACGGAAAAAAAGATATGGCAGTTGATCATTTACCGAAGTAGAACAACAGAGAGCTCTAGGCTGATTTTTAAGTAGCCATAACTATTCTAAGAACGCGAACCACTTCACATAGACAGCCACGAGCTGTATCGGCGGGCAGTATGTTCCGTACTGCCCGCCGATACAGCCCAAAGATAGAGAAAGGCAACCACCGTTTTATCGTCTGCTAGTGGAGTCTGGCGCGTGCCCTCTCTCTCGTTTTACCCCGCCGAATCCGCAGAATTTCCTGGATATATGGAGAGGGCGCTGCTGTCGAACAAAATGGTGCCGCCCAGAGAGCGCTAAATGGAATGGTCTATATAAACATGACATACTCACTACGATATTGAAAGTGTTACAGCGAGGAAGAATATACTTCCTAGTATAAAGCAGAAAGACTTTCGAGACCTTGTACTCGTGGACTGTATTCTTTTTTTTAAACAAAAAATTTAAAGAAAAAAAAAGTTATTTTGTAGTGAGATATGTTTGTGGAGATGGCGTGATGGCGAGTACTGAATCATAACATGGTCATCTGACAAACACATTTTCAATAGAAATACACATGTTACACAGCAGACTTGTGGGAATGAAGTCTATGGTCAGTAGCAAGGCTAGCTTGGGATGCTCAGCAAAATGCAAAGAAAGATAAGAGGCAAACATCATTTGTTTGGACGGAGCACTACCGAAGCAAAAACATAGTAAAATCCCTTAAGGACGTCCACCCCCAAGAGATCGCCCATCCCATTTTTCTGGTGGAATAGCTGTAAAATAAAAATTCCAAAACATCGCCCACTCCCCCAATTTCTGTCTGACGTCACGCGATATCCGACGGGAATTGCAACAACCGCGCGATTATGCCTGACCAGCTGATTATGCCAGTTTGCACAAGGATGATCTTTATAATATATTTAGCAGGGCTGTCAGCCCCTGTGTAACAATTTGTTTGTATTTGGCATTCACGGCTGCGGGTTTGAAGAATGTGAGTATTTGTTCACCCAGTGCGCCTTGACCAAGCGTGTGCTGACCCGAATTACAGCTCTATGATAGGGGCGTTGAACGTTTAATGTTGGTTCACAGTTGTCTTAACCGTGGCAATATTGCAAATATGATTCACACACACACATACAAACAAAACAACAATAACCACAACATGAAATTAAATTGATTAAATACATTTGTATTCAGTTCCTTGGGGAGACCACCGAATGGAAGCTCAAAAATATCATGAAGAGTGCGTGTGATACAGCACGAATTTACGATAGTAGTATTTTTATTTTAGGTAAAAAATAAGAACTACACTGAAGGTTTATACTAATGTACTACACAAGCGTATGCGACGCAGACAAGCGTAAAAGGAAATGACCGGCGTGTCGCCGCTGTGCAAGTACGCGGAATATAATGCATAAAAACAAAAAAAAAAAAGCTATTCTACGGAAAGTCGGAACATTTTCCTTTTATAATCATAATAATAATAACAAATAAATTCAGTACTTGAGCATATATATATACTCTTCGGCTCCTTTAAATAAAATGCACAAAAACATCTCAGCGACATTTTAATGTGCTCCTCCTGATAGCGCGGTAACATAGCTCACCGCGCTTTTAAATTTCATGCTTACTTCCTACAGAAAATGACCAGTGCTTATTAAAGTGGTTGCTTGCAGTACTGGCTACAAATAAAAAAGCTTCTCCTGCGCGGACCCAATCTGTTGGGAAGCGAGCAAGCGCGACTGTTGAACTCGCCATCAGGTCCAGGTAATCAGTCAAGAGCCCGCTTTCGACTACACCTCGAAAATGTTTCTCGAAATGTGAGTGTCGCGCGATAATAATGACACAGCGTAAAGTAAGCGAGCGTTCACTATTGCTTTTTAGCACCATTGTCTTTATTATGCATGTACGAAACGAAGTTGTTACGTCGCCTAGTTCTTCTGCACTTTGCATCAGCCTTCAATCTGGAGCAAACAACCTGCGTGAGCGAGAAAAAAAAAAAAATCAAGCGCAAAACATGTGTATTTTAGTGATGTTGACTGGACCTCACCGTTGCTCTGCGCAAGCGAAGCTACGATGCTAGCCATCACTAAGCTCCCAAAAAATCACATAAAATAATAGATGCTCGCTAATGTTACATACAAATGCCATGAGCCCTTCATGTCATTGTGGAAAGTGTCATATATTAAGAAAACGTTTAGAATCCCTGAAAAAAAAGCACACAACACTAACGCAGGGGTGCTCTGTTTAGGAGCATGACTTGAACAGGAAAGCGCAACGGCTATTAAAATGTTGGCTATAATATCTTTAACTTGAAAAGAAAAACAATACAATCCCAATCTTTACATCTGTTGTTTTTAATTTTACTTCCTTGTTGAATCCGTAGCGGAACAGAGCAGTCGTGCGGTCGCTGCGCGCCGCTTTCACGCGCCGCCAATGGCCTTAGCGCTTTGCCAGTCGCCTCAAAGATGGCATCGGAAGGAAGGTTGACGCCACGTTCAACAGATGGCGGGCGAATCTAAATAGGGTATTTTACATGCCCCTCTGCATGAGTAATTGAATTTTAATCTGCTCCAATCACATCCTAGCATACGGTGCTTTCGTTAGCGACATTGAAGCTCTGACGTCACATAACGCAGAGTGAGCATTTCCGTCTCGTCGTTTGCCTGCGAGTGAATGCCGCATTGAGCTTAAGCTTTGTTGCACGATTGGGTGCCTCAACCGCCAGGCAGCACCTGCGATCCGCGAGACATGCAGTGAGGAGCAAAATTAATCATCGCTGTGCGTTGGGAGCACTGGATTCCCGTCAAGATCGAGATCCCACTTATGTAGCAATCATTTCACAGAAGAGAGCTACGAGCTGAGCTCTAAGCAGACAGAAGGTTCGTAAGCTGAGGTGTGATGCTATGCCAATTATATTCAACTATGTCCACCCACTTCTTGCCCAAACCGGGTTAATCGGTTTGATTATGCATCAAAATTGAAACCGACAGCTAAGCCATCTTGAAATGATGCCAAAAGTTATATTTAGCACGCATAGAGCCCGATTTTGTTCGACCCACGTGTGGAAATGGAGCGTGGCTACGATTCACCGAGCTCGTCGGAATCAAGTGACGATCTAGAAATGTTACATGTATTTTGAACGATTTGCCATTTGCCTTGGACCCGCGGGCATCGCCTCTGAGGGAACGACCGGCAGCCACATCACCGATCCAGTGGATCCGCTGCTTCGTAAACCCGGATGCCACTTCAGAGGCAAAATCTGCTTCCTTCTCTTTGCAAGCACCCTTTGTCCGATTGGTGGCCGTCGCAGTTGAGTTTGCTTGAAGCTGACGGCTGTTTTCGAGTAATATTTTGCAGAAAGGCACAACTGTTTTGCACACGCTTGGGAACTGCATTACAAGACACATATTTCAGTAGGGTACAGACCAGCAGGCTATATAATTCGAAACAAAATACAAGACATCCATCGACCAACACTTGTCATCCCGACCATCCGACGATCCTTTGCATTAGGTAACGTCACACAGCAGCTATGGATGTCAGCCATTTGCACTGGCAAAGTTTAGGGTGCAGTTTTGTACACACGTTTATGAAAGGTTTAATTAATATTGGGACATCATATATAAAAATAAAAATGTTTGTCTACATAAATGCTCCCTCAACATATGAGCGCAAAAACTTAGATACTTCCGATTTCGACTGGACAATCCCTTTAACGAAGCTGGGGGTGAATGCTTTGCAGAACCCTGATTAACACGGGCTGGTACATGGTAGTGAACAAACAGCATGAGTAATTCTACGGAATGAGGATAAATTTAGAAACGGGTGTGATGCCGTGGGAAAGCCAGCTGCTCGTTTCAACAGGTCTGTGGCACAAGACTAGGTGATGATGGGATGAGGACGCCTTGTGAAAACGGGAAGTTCACTGTTGTTAACCTATGAAAATTGTTTCTTGTGGGATGATGTAAAATGGAGAGAAGTGCCTTTATTATTATAACGAGAAGTCATTTGAGAATATGTGGCAGTTGGGGATTAGGACTGCCATCTTGAAACATAAAGGGAAGCCGAAGAGGTTCTTGAAAAAAATGAGTTAATGGTGAATTCTACCACATTTTTGTCCTGCTAGTGAATATCACAATTATTTGACCCGAATGTATCAATAGGTGCCAAACCGCTGTGTGTGACGTAATACTTAAAGGTTTCAACTACCTTGCTCATGCCACCTGTGAGGAAATGTGTGCCGAGTTTTTGACTGCTAGGGCAAGGGTTGTGGAAGGTGCAGAAATGTCGATATGCGTATAATACCGTCACAATCTTGCCCTCCCATTGAAGGCAAAATAAGGGTTTTAGAAGTGCTGTTTTGGCTACTTGGCACATCAATCCGAAATATAATTTTGATACTCGTCATTCTGGAAACCTTATGACGACAATTTAAGTGTTGTTTCTTTCTTTTTTCTCAAATACAGAACTGCTTTTAATGTACTTGAATGTGGTGTTTTCCCCATTTCGGCTCTGTTTCACATCCTCTCTCTAATCATCTGCTTATCACAGTTATCTGCTTGGATTCAGGTGATGTCACTTGTTTGCAGCTGGGATTGGCAATGTCGTGAAGGCCTTTCAGTTATCTGCATGCTCCCAGATTTGTGTATCAAGCTAGCAGGGTCGTCTTGTGTCCTTTTTCTTTCACCACATGTTGACCTTCTTCTATCATTGGTTAACATTCTTTTCTGGGTGCACTCTTGCCCTTTTTTTTCTAAAGTGCTCCACACAGTAAGTTCACTACCTTTATGATAGGATATGGTATAGGTTCATGCAAACTCCAGTCCAGATGACATTTGTTTTCTCTTCTATACTCGTCACGCTCTTCTGCACTTGTCACATTTAAAAAGATGTCTTACGCACATATCTTACAAGTTGGGCATCAAAGGAAGAGACAATGTTTTTGGTAGTTGATACGTGTATGTCTTAATGAAATAACATAAAAATAATCTTAGATGCACCCCTGTATGTCATAATGGTAGAACCACCATTGTCACATTGTGAACAGTCGTTTTTTCCAGATATGAGAAATCTAATATGTGGATAACCTGCATTCATGTAAACCTCTGTGCGTATTTTGGACATGCATCGGTAAACAGAAGTAATGCCCACGAACATATTCCGAAACCTTCAGTAGAAATAATTTCTGATTTTTCCTGCAGTTATTCTTTTTCTAGGTCTGATTAAATCATTTTACAAAAAAAAAAAAAAAATTTGCTTTTTTTAATATTTACAATGAAGAAAAATTAGCAATACAATTAGGTCTTTGTGACTAATTCCAGCCCACTAGGATGGGGTTGTTGAGTCGACAGCACAATGAGGTTAATCATCTTGTAGTAGTTTGAACCAACGTTGTTGCGTACACTCATTTGAGAACTTCACATGGACACTGTATGACGGCAGCATACAATGCCGTGTCCATTTTCTTGCAGCTGTGATGCTGCCAGCGCATTACAATATTATGGTCTGCTGCCGGGCTTTCTTGGCAAATAACACAGAATAGTTGCTGTGCACTTTAGAAATGTAATGAGATGTGCAAATGTTTCTTTCTTGGAGACTAGAAACAACCCAGAGAATCTACTGTGAATGTACCGCATGCGCCCGGATCGTTTTCATAGCATTTTTGCTACGGAAGCAGGTGTCGATTTCAAATTTGCCTCGTACCTGCAACAACACAGTTTCAAAAGCATGGTGGAGCGCAGTCAATGATGCTGAAAATAGTTCCTTATGAGGTCTTTCAATCAACATTCAAAGGGACCTGCCTGAAGAGCAGAGTTGAACCAATTGGTGTATCCAGTGATGTTGGTTGGAGCGACTTCACGAGTAGTTATGCTCCTTCCGCCTTTGCCACTCACTGCACGTAGGTTGTCGTGGCATATAGGAGGCTATGGTCAAAGATAGGCATAGCGTAATTATAAATTATGCTTAAGCATACATTCTGTCCCACATTCTTTTCGCTTATAGTCTGTGCGATCATTAAATCATCACCCCTCGATTTGGTTTATGGTTAATTTGCACCGTTGTTTATTCTTTCAGTTGTGCATAAAAAAGTAATGTATTCAAACGAGCGCACCTTTCGCTAATATATGCTGCGTCCGTTGTAGCGCTGGAATGGAACCCCGTCGGGTGGCTCGGACCGCCTTTTGCTCCACCCTCTCAGACACGATTATCTAAGAAATAAAGATTCATTCAGTGACCCGGGCACTCGAATTGACCTCCCTCCCCCTGCTCTTGGCTTGTGCAGTCTGGGAGGCACTGCGGGAGCGATAGCCACCTGCCCGCTGGAAGTGGTGAAGACGCGCTTGCAGTCATCGGTGGCCACCTTCCACTATGCGGCTGCCACGTCCCCCAACGCGCCCCAGGCGGCCGTGGGGTCTCTTGCCGACCGGCTGGGCTTTCACACGTGCACGTGCGCCCCATCGCCCAACGGCTACGCCGCCTCGGTGATCAACGGCGGCGCCGAGCCCGCAAGGGTCCCCTCCATTGGAATATGGCGCTGCCTGAAGTGAGTTAAGCCTCTGCCCTATATGGTTTTGACTTTCTTTGCTTTCTGCACTGTGTGCCTCTTTATGTTTTATGCTACTCTGGGGCCCTAATCTATGGGGCAGGGCTGAGGGACCTGGACAATGCCGTCTGCTGCGATTGGTCAGCAGCACGGCGCGATCAATCGCAGCAGACGGTATTGTCCTGCTGTGTCCCACCGTGTAGCCTGGGGCCGCTGGCCTATAATCACTGACAGGATTAAGCAGTGAAGAGGCTCCTCACTTGTCCTGCTTCCAGCACAAGCTTTCTACCTTTGATGATGCTCCGGCACCTTGTGAGCCTTGAGCGTGTATACGCAGCCGAAAGCGGTGAGAAAGGCAAGGAGTACGTGCTGGAGGCCGGGCATAATATGAAAGAGATGCCCTGCCGTTCTTGTTTTGTCGCTTTCTTGGGAGTACTGCCTCCTCTTGTGCATTTTTGTTTTGCTGAACTCAAAGAGGGATTTACTTGCACCAGAAGGGGGGTCCTAGTGTCCCTTGGGCTCTCCGACGTGCCTAGGTGTAGAATAGGGGAGTCTATCTGCAGGCGCTTGGTGCGTGTAAGTCGGGTTGGTTGCGCGGGGGTTTTTCTTTTACAGTGCCAACAAACGTTTTACTCCCACCGACTTTAGATGGAGGTTATTATTCTTTCTGGGAGTGTGATCACCTCTGGAGTAGTGCTTGTGCAGAGACGCCGTCCTCCCTTACACCCTCCTTTCCCACCGTGAACATGAGACATAAGGGAAAGAGCATTCCAAGACGCTGCTGCAGGGTCCACTATTGCATTGGCTGGTCGTATGCTGACCCAGCAAACGGATCATCCGAACGGACCTCTCGGCGCTTGAGGCTGTTTCCGAGGCCACAGCTTATTGCCCGGTTTTTCCGTAAATTGATACTGAGTCGATTGAAGGGCTCTCTTCTACAGAAAGCAAGTGTTTTAATGGTGGTTTTATCTAAATTGAGGGAATTGTCGAATTATGAGAAATTCCGGTGCAGGGAGTGTCTAACGTGATCCAGCCTTGTGTGCTGGCAGGCTATGAGCAATGCGGCACTCTTCTATTCATAGATCTTTAAACTTGCTTGCTTTAGTTTTTATGACTCTGACATATTTTTCATAATGTATGTACATTTCAAGCAAGCATTTGCACAAACAGCAAGCGGACAAGTATGCGTCTTGGTCTCCCCTGAGAATCGCACACATTCACAAATCAAGGCACAAGGTACATTTTAGTGCCACGCATGCTCGTTCATTGTGCCTGGGCAGTGCTGAGGAGGACGCCTGCCTGCCTGGTTTCTCTGCATAGATTTAACTGCAGGCCTCCCCTGCGGCACACAAATGGTACGGTACAAGCACACACTGCTTGACGTGCTGCAATCCAGTCGTGTCTTCTGAGCATGACATGGACCGTAAAAGAAAATAGTTTAAACATCCTTTCACTCCGGTTTTAACGTCTGTCCGCTAGTTATCTTCTACCGACAAAGTATGGGTTGCATACCCTGCCTAACCGAGTCCTGGCAGGTTGCCACCAGCGGGTTCGGTTCGTATTTATGCGCTGCCGTGCGGCGCCGTGACGCTGGTTCGTTTTCCTCCTTGCCAAATTTGCCGCACGCCAGGTGGCCTCGCTCGCTCGCTGGCTCGCAAACGGCGCGAAGGAGAGGCACACAGTGAGGAAAAAACCGCTGCTGCCAAAATTGACTCTTTTTTTTCTCCTCTTTCTCTCTCCATTTCTTCCCCAACTCATCCCAGGCAAATCGTCGAGATGGAAGGCACCAAGGCTCTCTTCAAGGGTCTCGGACCTAACCTGGTCGGAGTGGCGCCTTCGAGGTACTTTTTACGAACACAAAGCCCCCCAGCCACTGTTTCGGGGGAGAGGAGACGATCACTCAAGGGTCGTGGCTTCCCCCCTCTCTCCCCTTTCCCCTTCCCCCTCCTCATGCTGCTGCCAACTGCGACACTCATCCTGTCTTCGTTTTCATGTCTCGCTCCTTCCACCAGGGCAATCTACTTTTGTACATACTCCAACTCCAAGAGCCTCTTCAACGAACTCCTCCCTTCGGATACTCCCATTGTACATATCTGTTCGGCAGCCAGCGCTGGTAAGGCCCCTTGGCGTCTGTTTAGGCTAGTCTGGTAACAGTGAGATGTGTCTTGGTTTGTCCCGTTTGCTTGCCTGTTGTACCCCAACCTTTGCAGGGATAACATGCCGCCCTTTGCACATATTTTCTACGGCACGCACAAAAGCAGTAGTGGCAGTCTGTTCTGTTGTGTTGTGGAGGTTGCCTGCAAGGTTTTCAGTATATTTTTGTTGGCAGTTTGATGGTTTACTGGATTGTTTGTCGCCGCCGGTTTTTCTCGGGACAGAGTGCTCGAACCTGCGGCGTCGCTTCTGCTTGCCTCCATCTGCAGGTTTCATGTCCTGTACTGCAACCAACCCCATCTGGTTTGTGAAGACACGGCTCCAGCTTGATCAAAGGTACGGACAGCTACTTGCAAATGGGCCACTGTTAGGTTCCGCTAGACCTTTCAAGAAATTGAATTATATTTAAACTCTAGCTGTTGTGCATCTTAGCTTTTTGTCTCTCATGCTGTTCTGACTTAGGAAGACATTTCTGAGTTATGGACACCCATGTCTTGGTGCCCAGTTGTGCTCTACATGGCCACACATTCCATAACTTTTTGGAACTGTCCATCTAATCTAGTTGCAGTCATAGAGCTGCTCCTAGGTCGAGATGGATAGAATGCCCAAGGATTGTGTTGCCTAGAAGCCTCTAGGCTTGAGAGTCGGCATCCAAATTAAGGGGGCTGTGTTGCTTCGTTTGTCGCTGCACGTATTAAAGGCTGGTTCAAACATCCGAGCATTCTTCAACTTGAAACCTGTTTCTGCTGTTCCCACACTCCAGGATGTATGGCAGCATCTCGGCAGTGCAGTGTATCCGCGACATCTATGAACGTCACGGCTTGGTGGGCTTCTACAAGGGCATCACGGCTTCGTACTTCGGCATCTCGGAGACCATCATCCACTTTGTCATCTACGAGTTCATCAAGGCACAGCTGCGCAAGCACAAGGAGTCTTCCTGCAGGGATTCCTACGACCCAGACGTGAAGTCCACCAGGGACTTTGTACAGTACATGGCTGCGGGAGCCGTCTCCAAGACGTGTGCCTCGACGCTCGCCTATCCCCACGGTAAGTGCTTCTGCACTCCTCTCTTTACTCGGCACATTCTTCCAGTTTCGACCGTTGTAAGGCTGGAAGATTCTAGCTCTAGTTTGAGACTGAGGGGTGGCATTGGGCCCATGTTCTAAACTTTGTTAAAGGACACATGCAAAGAAAAAAAACATTTTTTTAGACAGCTTAGATGGAAAAAAGATGTCATAAAACGATTTTACAACGAAGAAAAAAAATTTTTAGAGCTATATTTACGGCGCTATACGAATTTGTAGTTGGCGCTCGCGGGAGCCGCCGCTGGTCACGTGGTAGGTCCGCGCGCCGCCGCGCTGCGTCGCTGCCGCGCGCAGAGCGTTGTGCGAACGCCGCTTCAACGCGTTTCTCTACGTCGCCGCCGCCGCACAAGTTCGTCTGCTTCGGGGCGCCACCGCCGTCGTCTGATCGGCGCACAGGTCTATCACGTCTGCTTGTGCTTTTTCAGGAGTTTCCTTTGGGCTCTAGAAGTTACTTATTCGTCTTGGTTTATTGTTATACTTCAAACAAAGATGAATAAGTTACTTTTAGAGGCCATAGGAAGCTTCCGAAAGAGCGCAAGCACCACGTGATGAATAAGGACCAGTCACGTGATAAATACGGACCACTTTTCCGCGGTGCCCGCGGGAACAGGAGCCTTGGCTTTAGAGGTTATATATGTTAGATAGGTGAATTCAGTTAGACTGGGGAATATACACTGCTCTCGATGCCCCTATAAACATGGAGGCATGTGAAGTTCATATGTTCTGAAGCTTGTTCTGAAGTGTGTTAAAGATGTGAACACTAGTATGAAAATAAAATCTCCAAATGACAGGACAAGAAAGGCGAGACAAACAAAGTGCTTTTCAACTGAACTTTATTATGGAAAAGAACATAAATATATCTGCCTTCTACTCTCAGTAATGATACAATGTACTCAAATCCTTTTTGTGTTAGATGTAATCACGGTGCACCGCTACATTTTGCTTCGCCGGCAAGCCTGATGCTGAAAGCCTCGAAAATCTCTTTTGGGATTGGCTCTTTTATTTTCAAAGCAATGCGCCGACTAGCCTACCTTTTCATTCTAATGGAACACTAGTAGCTTGGAGCTGCATCATTGATAATCTTCATCAGTGGAAGTGACATCTCGGGATGATGGAGCCCTATTGGATTTAAATCACTTTTTTATATCTCTTGCATATCTACAAGGCAGGACACAGCGGGAAAACAACATTAGCGCTTTGTTGCAATTTACTGAAAAGAGAATAGCACTAAACCTGAAACTTCGTAGAACCCACACTGGTGCTGCATATAAAACAATCCACCTTATACAAAACAAGCCACCTTATACATAGAAAAAATATTGGCAGTGAACTTTACCCTCAAGGTCCCATAATGCATGAAATGCATTATACGCAATTGGTGACGGAATTGGTGTTACGTGACGTATCTGTTCCTGCTAAATGTAGCGGGAAAACTGAATGGTTGTATAGTTCACATGACGTCGATTTCCCCCGCTAATTTTAGCAAGGAAACTGGATCGGTGTCCGAGTCACAAGACGTGAATTTTCCCGCTAAATTTAGAGGGTAACTGAATTGGTGCATAAGTCATGTGGCATCAACCGTCCGCTAAATTTAGCGGGGAAACTGGGTTAACGTATTGGTCGCCTGCCGTCGGTTTCCCAAGGTGCGTATATAGGTCACGCGACGCCACCTTCCCCGTTAAATTTAGCGGAAAATGCACAGATGGACAGACAGACCAAATTTTGGAATTGGGGGGTAGTGTTCAAAAGCATTTTATGCTTTAATATTTAGAAAATTGGAGATTGCATGTATAGGTTAACTGCGTTGCACTTAGCACATTTTACCATTGGGCCTCTTGTTGGGAATAAGACACTGGTCTGGATTGAATTGCAACTTGTTCTATTTGATGCATAAATCAGTGTTACTTCTGGGGGCACTCTTTGTATGGAGTAGATAGACTCAGTTACTTGTTAGCTTCTAGAAAGCTTCTAGGCCCATTTTAAGACTCTTTGCACATATGTTTGTTGAAAGGGAAAAGATGCACCGCAGCACAGTTTTGCTTTTTCTGTTTTGACCTCTGATAACAACTTTTACCCAAGGCAGAAGTGTTCCAAGAAATCGCTGTAATCACTTGTGCCCCCTAATCACTAGAACACCCCCCCCCCTTCTCCTCCTTCTGTGTCTGTCCATCAGAGAGCGTGCCGGCAATCTTGCCAGCCACCTTGCATGTGCATTTAAGACTCATTGTACCTGGTTGCAAATACTTGCTGCTAGCACTTGTTACAAAGTTGTCCAGTAGCAACCTGCTAACAGCAGACATGCCTGCCACGCATGCATAAGATAAATTTGCACAAGCCTGCTCATTGTTGGGGGTCCGGGAATGCAGAGCTTGAAGGCACGTGGCCAGTGGGTGCTGTTTACTCCAGCTGTTTAATCTCTCCTTATCCTCCTCAACCGAGCTGTAGGAGGCCGGGAATGTTTTCGCGGCTGGCCATCACCGACATGCGATAATGGACGATAACCTCCCTGTGTGTGTGTGTGTGTGTGTGCCTGCAAAGGAGCGCTCTTATCTAACACATTCTGTTTATCTCACAACGCTTGACCTGTTCGCCGACAACAAGGCGGCACGTCCCTCGGCGTCCCACGTGATATGCAGATGAACTACGACAGCAATCCGGTTTTCGGTGGCGGTGTCTTGCGGGTGCGATGATAACGGGAGCTCGTGATAACCGAGCCGGATGGGGCTGCGCACTATCTCGTGATGTAACCGAGGGGAAGAGACAAATATATGTTATCGGCAGCCAAAAAGATTTGCGCTACGCTTAGCAGGTCCAGTGCTTTCTAAAATTAGCTATGCCCTCGAGGTGCGTTGGAAGCAAGGAGAAAAGGTTGGGGAGGTAAGCAAACAAGCGAAGAGTGATGAGGACTGACAAGTGGGGTCTTTTGATTTTGGATGTTTACAAGTAGTCGCGTGGGGATGAGCTACCTGGGCTTGAGAAACAAAAATTTGAAATATAGCCGGGTCATTGTAAGCCTGTGCAAAACAGAGGGCTGCAGGATTCTAAAGGACTTATACACTTGTTCAGTTGCTGCTGGTGTTCTGGGGTAAGTGGCTACCGTACTTACAGCTAGACAGCAATGTGACGGCAGTTTGAAGTTCGGACCACTATCATATACTGTAAACGACTTATTTTTCGCGGGCTCAATATTTCGCAATTTAGGTCAAAACTGAATTTGGGAATAATTTCCGGCCTCTAATTTTGGCGACGCGGTGGGATCTCAATATAGATTGCAATGTGTTTACATTTTACCGGAATAGTTTGCAGAACCTATTTTTCGCAAATAGTAAGTGATTCGCGAAATTCGCAAAAATTAGGTTTTTGCGGAAATTAATTTGTTTACAGTATGCCCATACGATTTGTGGCAGGAATAGGGGTGCCAGCCCAAGATTTGGCAGTACAAAGGCTGTCCACGATATGTTGTCATTCATTTATTTTGGGAATAGTGGGAAGAACTCTTGACTTACTGCTTGATCCATCATTCAGGCAGCGTTGGGGAATACCTGGAAAGTAGACAGTCCACTAATCTTGTCGTTGTATGGGGTGTTGTCTTTTGTGTATCGCTTTTCTAACTAACGCATACCAACAAGCTTGTAAGGTACTGGGTAAAGCACATCCCATTGCTTTTCACTTTCTGAAAGCTGGAAATCGGATAGCACTTCTAGGATTGCAGTTGACTACTGACAGTTAGTTTTGTCGGGTACATCGTCCCTGTCACTATGTGGTCTAAGGTATGGACACACGTGCCCTCGCACACCTTGGGCACTGATCAAGCTTTGCATGTGCATTCCTCACATCCTAAAGGCCGGGGAAAGTTGTCCCGAAAAATAATTATTGAGACAGATGCTTGAAGTGTTCCCCAGTAAGTCCGAGGAGCTACTTAGCGTCAGCCACCAAGTACAGGAAAAGCTTTAGGGGCTCCCCTTACAACCTCGTGTTAGGTGCTTGAAAATACTCCCAACAGGGCCATAAAATTCCTGGAATATCCTTGAATTTATTTCTTTGAAGTTTGTTCGCATCCTGTTTTTTATCTTTATGCACTAAATCTCCCTTAAAGTACAATTGAAGTTACGGATGTGCAATGGGGGGGGATGTGGTTCTAAGTATGCATGTAAAATGTGGACAGTATCAGAAGTTTTGTACTCTGCCTCAGCTTTCCTGTGCTAAGTTGGCAATGCTTGCAGTTTCTGCAGCACTCCAAGAAAAAGTAGGTAAAAAGATGACACTTGTAGAGCCCTTGTTGGGGCCCTTAAACGATAATAAGCAATTAAATGAACAGAGACATCCTCCCCGTCCACTTCTCTTTTTGTTTTATTTCTGTGATCATCAGCATCGCTGAGGGAAAGGCTGAGCACATTGCTGTGCTGCGGAAGCAATGCTCGCCTTGCCAAAGTTGCAAAAAAACAGTTAATTTAGAGTGTAAAGTGTCCATTTCATTCCAACGTTTATCTTTATGGATGTCAACTCGAATGGTCTACATGAGAATCTTTTATTGATTGTCTCTCGTGAACTACCCCGGTCTGTCGACTTGACGACCCAGTTGACTGAGGTGGCTCAAACGTGTGTTCAGCTCTGTCATTGTTGAAATGGAAGAGTGGAGGCGTCACATGACAGCTGCCCTGGTTTGGTCGAATCCCGGAGAAAAGCTCACCGGAGAAAAGCTCACCGGCCATTGAGCATATGCGGAGAAAAGCTCACTGTTTTGTTTTTTTTTTCTTTTTATATGAAGGCTGTTAAATCATGCGTAATATATGTCCCCCCCTCCACACACAATTTATTATCCTTAAAAAGTTTGTCAACTTTGTAAAAAAGAAAATGTATTTTTTTGTGTTATTTGTTAGGCTTATTGGGTTTATTGCTCTGAAATTTATAATTGCGGGCCAGTGTTTTCTGGGGTTTACTCTCTAGGTAACGAAGGCCTAA